GAGTTTAAAAACCTCACAGCTTGTATAATGTAACCATTGGGGTCCGCCTTCACTTGGACTCGTGTAACTCCTTCATGCAATAAACTGAAAAGAGCCATAAAAACAAAACAAAACAAAACAAAACAAAACAAAACAAAGGTGAGAGACAGAACAGGTTTGCAAATGCAACCTGGTTTTGCTTGTTTGTTTGAGATACAGTCTCATTATGTAGCTCAAGCTGGCCTCAGACTCCTAGTGATCCTCCTGAAAAAGTGATCTGTTAAAAGCACAGTAGCAGGCTACAAGGATAGCCAACATTTTGGCCCTAGCCCTTCAAGGTCAGTGAGGACTCAGGACATAAGAGAACCTGTGCTGTGACATCCTGTAACTCAGTGGTGTCCCAAATTTTCTGTTCAAGGAGATTATGGGGCCACAGAGGAAAGTGATCGACGATGTAGTGTGTGCCTAAGGAGAGTCACCTGGAGAAAAAACATTCTCTCAGGCTTTCACAGGGAGCAAATTGGGAGGCCGGGGAGATGGCTCAGTAGAATAAGTGCTTCCCTGGAAAGTGCAAGAGCCTGAGTTCAATCCCTGGTTCTGACAAAGAAAAAAAAAATTATAAGAAAGATTCGTATTAATAGTGTTTAGACAAGATCTCATGTCTGCATCTTGTACTATGAATAACTACTAGGAAGACAACAATATGCAATGTATTAATTATTGTAACTGTCCTATTAACCTGTTTTGAAACTGTCTCATTGCTATTTCTTTCTCAATAAAATTACTTTTTAAAAAAATCACAGTAGCATCTGGGTATGATGGCACACACTTGTAATCTCAGCACTCTGGGATGCTGAGGCAAGAAGACTGCAGTCAGAGCTCCACCTGGGTGATACAGTGATTTAAACCCTGTGTCAAAAAGGGTTGGAGATGTAGCTCAGTATAAAGGCCTTTGGTTCAATCCTCAGTCTCTCCTCCCCCCAAAATCACAGTAACTTAATTTCTGCTATAAAGTTACACCATAACTACCCATCATTTCTTTCCTTTTCCTTTTTTTTTTTTTTTTCCTACTTTTTTTTTTCTTAGGCCCTTGCGCTTGCCAGGCAAGCGCTTATTCTATTGAGCCATCTCCCTGCCCCCCCCCTTTTTTTGGTACTGGGTACTGGACTGATGACCTTGTGCTTGCTAGGCAGGTGCTGTACCACTGAGCTATATCCCCAGAGTCCCTATTGCTTTTTTTGAGTCTGGAGCTCCTTACATCTTTTCTAGTCTTACAGATTCATTCACTTCTCTACTTTCTCTTCTTCCTGTTCCTCATTTTTGCTGAGAATGAAACTGGCTTTAACATTTAGCTGCACCCTCAGCCCTTTTTATTTTATTTTATTTTATTTCTAGACAGAGTCTTACTAAATTGCTAAACTCCCCAGGCTGGGACCCAACATATAATTCTCCTGCCTCAGCCTCCTGCAGTGTTGGGATTACAGGTTGTGTGCTACTACACCAGCATTTTTTAATTTTTTATTTTTTTTTTTGTGGTACCAGGAATTGAACTCAGGATCTCCCTGGCCCATTTGTTTGTATTTTGGAGACAAGTTCTCCCTACGTAGTCTAGGATGGCCTTACACTCCTGAGCTATTGTAGCTCAGGCTAGTTTCAAACTCCCAAAGAACCTCCTGCCTCAGCTTCCTAAGTGCTGGGATTGTAAGTGTGCACCACCAAACCCTGCCTGAGTCCTTTTTAAAATGACTTGCTAGGGATCAAATCCAAGGCCTTGGGCATGCTCAGAAAACACTCTTCCAAGGGCTGGGGAGATGGCTCAGTAGAATAAGCACT